GGGAGGACCCGGCACAGCCACAAGAAATTGCGGCAACAGGGGCCTCGATGCATTGTTCGGTGCCTGTGCTGTGCTGTCACGCCTTACAACTGCAGCCACTTGCCACCCCTCCCCATCCCTTCCCCGTGCGGTCATGATCTTCCCTCTTCCCTCCTCTTCCTCCTCCTCCTCCTCCCCCTCCTCCTCCTCCTCCTCCTCCTCCTCCTCCTTCGTCTGCCTGTCGTCCTTCCTGAGTATTGCCACACCGCCAGTGGCCCCTGGAGCGTTGTTCCAGGGGTCACTCGGCCCTAGTTTGATCAGCCCCCCAAGGGTCGACCGGCCCGAGGGGGGGAGGGTGCGTCTGTACGACCATGCAGCCACCGGGAACCAGGAACCAGGAGGAGGAACAGGACGACGACCGTAGGCTGCTAAGAGGGGAGGAAAGGGTGAAGAGGTATAATATGAACTGCCACCATCATGCGGAGGTGGAGGAGGAGGGGTATCGGAAAGAGGAGGAGAAGAATGAGGACAACGACGACGGCGACGACAAGAGAAAACCAGGGGATCACGACCACGGACGACGACGACGTTGTGCCCAGAGATGCTTCCCGTTGGAGAGTTCTCCTCCATTCTAAGGACCAGATGCGGCCGCGCGGCCTCGATCGGCTTTTGCCGCAGTTTCGGGCGGCCATGCGGGCCTGCAGCGCGGCGGGCAGCGCGGCTGGGGCCAGGCCGGGACACGCCCCCCCCCATCCCTCCAGGAGGAAGTGCGGGGGAGGTGGGCGGGTAGGCAGGTGGGAGGGGGGGTGAGGGGGGGTGAGGGGGGGATGGCTCGAGGGAAGTGCGGGGGAGGTGGGCAGGTAGGCAGGTGGAAGGGGGGGGGACTCGAGGAGGAGGATATGAGGAGGATTCTCCTCCCTCCCGGTTTCTCTCCTCCCCCATCCTTTTGCTGCTCTTCCTTAGCCACTCTGGCTCAAGAAGTTGGTCTGAAGGATTGCGCAAACCTCATGCATTGAAAGGATACCGCTGGGCCGCGGCCCGACCATGTCATTTACATCGCGGGAGGCGGTGAGTCACGCGACTCCCAAGTGCTGTTCCACGAGTTCCTGCAGCCCCGAGATTCAGAGTACATTGGTGCGTGCGTGCGTGTGTGTGGGCGGGTGTGACCACAGTGTGACATCATGGACAGCAATGGCAGTTCAGCGGAGTACACGGTGTGCTAGGTGCGGCGCGCGCCAGAACGGGGCCTCTTGCTGGCATTTTGAGGGGTTTTGGAGCCATCTTGTGGAGGAGGGCTCTGGGGCACCCCTGCGGCTATTGGTCCTCTTGGGCCGTCTCTGGGCCTTCTAAAAGGGCGCAGAAGTCATTAAAAAATGAACGGGAAATCATCATTCGAGTTTTTTGAGGCCCTATCCTTTCGGGCCCTTGTGGCGTCCTGGTTCACATCTAGCAGCCTGGTGTCGCCATACTTCTCCATGTTCTTGCGGGCCACGATGTCCAGAGCACGCTCACCACCCATGGCGTCCGTGCACCCTAAGTCGACGATGCCCTTGCCCTCGCGGATGGCCTGGTCTGCGAACATCGCCTCGCACTTCAAGTCCTGGGGCTCCTGCTCGGCGACCAGCGAGGCCACGAGGTTGAACTTCAGCTCCTTCCTGCACTCAGCCACCTTCGCGCTCGCCTCCGGCGTGCCTGCAGCTCCTGGTCACGTGGGTCATGACGGTCCTGGCAGTCCTGAACCCAGTGAGCTCCACCACACTTCGCGCACTTCTTCTGGCCCTTGTTCGGCGGGCAAGATCTGGCCTCTACCTCCTACCTGGGGAGGAAGTGGTCGGCGTGATCCCGCTGGGAACCCCTTGCCTGACCCCTTCGGCGCTGGCCGTCCTCCCCGGTAGAAGCCCCTGCTCAGCCGGCTGTCGGCCTGGGCCTCCCGAGCCTGGCGGAGGGTGCGCTGGGCGGTGTGAATCGCCGCGAGCGCCTCCGCCTCCTCCTGCTGAGCCGCCAAGTAGGTCTCGATGTCGTCATCGTTCGCCTCCTCCTGGCCTGGGTCTTCCTCCTGCCACTCGCAGTTCTCCACGTCGGCTGCGAAGCTGCTCGCGTCTGGTCCATCGTCTCCGTCAAGCCAAGTACGATCATCTTCTCCAAGCTGTGCTGTGTACGCCTTCGGGAACCTCGAGTGCCCGTCGCGTTCCGCCAGGTCGTCGTCTTCCCAGCTCGAGATCAGCTTCTCCCGGATAATGTTGACCTCCAGCGAGCCGCCCGTCGCCGTCATGATGGCAGCCCTCTCGCGCGAGTCAAGCCCCGACCGCACGAGCATCAGCCAGCCCAAGACCAGGCTAGGGAACACCTCCGGCATGTCCCCGAGCTCCTCCTCGGCGTCCGCGTCCTGGTCAGCAGCGCTCCAGTGGTGCGACTCCTCTTTCTCGTCGTCTGGCAGGCCGTCCGTGTACTCCCACGTCCATTCGCTACCCTCGAATGGCCAATCACGTTCGACCTCGATCCAACGGTAAGGTCGCCCTGACCTCTTCCACGGTGGAGCGACCTGAACTGGAACTGTGTGTCCGAGCGCGCGTGCCAACGCGCGCCTGAGGTACTGGTACCCTGTCTCGAAGCGGTCCGTCCACTGCTGCATCGGCTCGAGCTTGCGGCGCTTCGTCTTGATCAAGAACGTCTCGAGCTCCTGGCCAACGTCTGGCACAGCCTGTCGAGAGCACCTGCGCTCCAGCAACGCCAGGAGCCGCTCCACGCCGTCCGGCCTGGAGAGCCACCCAGCCTTGCAGCGCTCGACCGCGATCTCGGCCCGGCCTGTGAGCTTCGCCTCCAGCCGCGGGCCGCACAGGTACCTGTCCTCCCTCTTGGTGCCCTCCTGGTACTGGAGGGCCTTCCGCCTGTACGTCCGCCAAGTCTTGGGATCACCATCCCAGCTTGGCACCTTGCCCCGATGATCCTCGGTCATCGTAGTCAAACTCCGTGTCAACCACGTGCTCCGCTACCATGCAAGTAGTCGGCGGAAGCTGCGCAGCGGTATCGATCTGCGTATCTCTTCTGAACTCTGTGTATCTTTTCTGAACTCCTAAAGCTCGAGCCCTGCTCACAGGGCTTCTAAACTCCCGTGCCTCTGAGCACAAGCGAGGGGGCGCTAGAGCCGAGACGGTAGCAGGCAAAACACACATGGAAAACACAACTCTAATCGCAAACTGAAGCTATGCAATAACATGGAATATGAAACATCTGCTACCCTGCTGGACTCACTCACTCATGTTCAGGCTTGCTCGTACTTGGAATTGCACCTTTGGGGGCGTTCTTGGGGCCCTTTTGGACCGTCTTGGAGGCTTCTTGGGCCGTCTTCGAGCCCTCTTGGGCCATCTTGGGGCCCTCTTGGGGGCCTCTTGGGCCCTCTTGGGGCGATCTTGGGGGCCTCTTGGGCCGTCTTGGGGCGTCGGGAAGCCGAAAAGGTGGAAGCTCCAAAATCTGTCAAAAACCTAAGGAAAAGCAATGAATTTTGCCTCCTGGGGCCCTCTTGGGAGTGCTCTTGGAGGCCTCTTGGGGCGTCTGGGGGCTATCTTGGGCGTCTTGGAGCGATCTTGTGGCATGTCGGACCCCTCGTGTACAATCTTGGGGGCCTCTTGGGGGCCTCTTGGCCTTTCTTGGGGCTCTCGGGGACGTCTCGGAGCCCTGTTGGTGCGCTCATGGAGCGCTCTGGTGGAGTCGCCCGGGGATCAGCCGGGACTCGCCCGGGGTACTTTTCGTCCGGGGACCCCCAGGGGCCGCCCCGCGCGCGCGAACTAGAGAATTGTTAACCAGTTACCGGAGATCTTAGCACGCCTCTGGCTTTCAGGCAAGGGCATGTCCGGACCCAGAGTTGCGAGAATGTGCCAGGTGAAATTGGCCAGATTTGGGCCTTTGTGAGCCCAGAGTTGCGAGGACGTCTCAGGCGAAATTGTCTGGACCATCTCAGGCAAGACAGCTGAGGGTCTCAGAGTAGCGAGGACGTCTCAGGAGAAACGGGCCGAACCACCTCAGGTCTCAGGGCGTCTGAAAGGCAAGAGTTGCGAGGATATCTCAGCCAAACTTTGCCATTCCAGCTCAGGGTCAGGGCGCATCCGAGCCCAGAGTTGCGAGGATGTCTCAGGCGAAATTGGCTGGACCACCCCCGGCCAGGGTGTCTCAGAGCTCAGAATTGCGAGGATGCCTCCAGGTAGATTGGCCTGGTTGCCGCAGGTCAGTGCATCTGTAAGCCCAGATTTGCGAGGATATGCTTGTCGAAATGGGCCGGACCATGCATGGCGTCTTTGACTTGGGAGTTGCGAGGATATTTCGGGCGAAATTGGTTCTACCACCTCAGGCTAGGGCCAGGATTGCGAGGATGTCTCAGGCGCGGCGCCCAGTGGGAGATGGCGAGTGGCAGTTGGAGAATGGAGGGAGGGAAGAAAGAAAGGATACGAGGATATGACGAAAGCAAGGAGGGGATATTTATGGATGTGAGTGGCACTTGCTGGATTCCTGATCCTTGGGAATGATTTGTTATTGGCTCCTGAGTCGGACATTATTGAATCCCTTGTCTTGGATACGACCGCCGCTCGAGACATTATCGATGTTATGATGCCGGCAATCGTTCCCGCGCGGGAGGTTCTCGCATTTTTTATTTAGACGGGTTGGGCCGGGGGTTGTGCAAGTTTTTTGGGGATATGTTGTTCGTAAGACATGTAAGGTCTCAGGACCCCCGAGGTGTCTAAGAATGCGTTCCTTTATGTGCTTTCGTTACAGTGTCGTTCTATCTTCGTGTGTCTCAGCGGTCGGACGTTCCTTTTTCGTTCCGCGTTCTTGCCAATGTCTGTTTAAGTTTGTTCCTGAACGAAACGTTCAGCAAAGAAACTAGATCGAACTTGGAACGACCATCAAGCGCGCGCGTGCCATTGACGGGTTCCGTGACCTTGCACCTAATATGTTCTCGTTTGCCGCTCAGGCTTGATAAGACCAGCTCGTTTCGTCGCCGGATCCGTCAGGATTGCTGTCGTTTGTTTCCGAGTGGCCCATGCCTGGCATGAGTCAGCTCCGTGCATCAGCAGTTTATTCATTCGCTTCGTTCATTCCGCCGGCCCATATTGTAGCATCGCTGGCACTCGCTTGCGTGCTTGGGGGGGGGGGCATTTGGGGGGCCTCCTGGGGCCGCTTGGGGGCCTGGGGGCCTCTTGGGGGCCTCCTGAGAGGTCTCGTGGGGGCATCTTAGGGCCTCTTGGGGGCCTCTTGGACCTCTTGGGAGCCTTTCGGGGGCCTCTTGGGCGCTCCTGGGGGCCTCTCGGGGCCGAGGGCTCGAAATATCCGTGCGGGTCTCCTGTGTGGACCCCCTCTTGGAGCCGTCTTGGGGGCCTCTTGGGCTGTCTTGGAGGCCTCTTGGGTGGTCTTGGGGCCCTCTGGGGTGGTTTTCGGGCCCTCTTGGGGGCCTCTTGGGCCGTCTTGGGGCGATCTTGGGGGCCTCTTGGACTGCTCTTGAGGTTGTGAAAACTTAAATGGCGAATTTGCTAAAAATATACGTCTTGCTTAGAGAATCGCACGATTTTGCCTCTCGGGGCCGTCTTGGGGGCCTCTTGGGGGCCTTTTGGGGCGTCTGGGAGCCGTCTTGGGCGTCTTGAAGCGAGCGTGTGGCATCTCGGAGCATTTTGGAACCATCTTGGGGGGCTCTTGGCGGCCTCGCGGCCCTTCTTGGGGCTTTCTGGAGGGCCTCGAGGGCGGCGCCCAGGAGGAAAACCATCTCTGGGTCGGACCGCCCGGGACCTGCCCGGGACATTGCCGGGGTACTTTTCGTCCGGGGACCCCCAGGGGCTGCCTCGCGCGCGCGAACTAGAAATATTGTTAACCAGTTACCGGAGATCTTGGCACGCCTCTGGCCTGTTGGGCCGGCGAATTTGTCTTGCACTCGCGTCCAGTGCGTTTCGGCCAGGCGCGATGGCCAGGCGGTGAGCAGCTCCCCGTGCTGACGTGCTCACGGCGGAATCCAGAGTAGCGATCCACGTGCTCAGGTTGGGATCAGCGGGCTGGTCCGTGTTCGCTGTCCCGGACGTGCGTGCGCCGCACCGACTGCAAAGGCGAGCGACGACACGCCACAGCACAATCTCTTTGCGCCCAGTGCGGCAGCGGCAGGGCCACAGCGTCTCGCGGGAGACGACGGCTGGTCGGGTGGAAGCCTCCATGAGAGCCGCACGGGGCCGAAAACCTTCGCGGGCGGTCCCGACCGCATACGCATACGCATCAAGTGTCGGACGGCTGCGGGCCATGTCTCAGGAGGAACAGGTAGACACAGGCACAAATAGACGTCGGTTCCCATGCAAATATCTGTACATGTGGGAAGTGTAAGGGGAAGTCGAGTATTCCAGAAGATATTGAAACATAGGAATCCTGGGAGTTGTGTCTATTTATTTGTGTGTCCATGGGCTCCTTCAGTGTCTGCGTTGGCGCCAGATCCCATCTTCGAACCCCTGGGGCCAGCGCGTTCGGCCCCGCCCCCAGGGTGCGGGGAGGGGGTCGGGCGCCGGCGGAGGAGTCGTCCGCGGATATCCGACACAATCAAGACTCGTGTTGTTTTTTAGAACCAGATTGTCCTCGAGCGCTGAAATTGTCAAGTTCCCGACCCCTGCCCCCGCGGCGCCTAGACTTCTGAACAAACGCGATCATCGTGCTGGGACGCCGACGTGGACCTGGGAAGTTTGCAATAGGAGCATAGAAGCGGCGGAGGAGGCAGAAAGGGTTGCAGAGAGCTCCTACCTAAAACGTCACTGCCCCTCGGATGCCTCCCCTTTCCCTTCTCTTCCCTCCCTCCTCCTCCCCCTCATCCTCACCCTCCTCCTCCTCCTCCTCCTCCTCCTCCTCCTCCTCTTCCCCCCTCCCTGCTCCTCCTCCAGCGTCCCAGGGTCCTGCTGAGGGAGATGAGGAAGCTCCATCTCGAACCCGACGGCTCGGTTTACTCGGATGCCCTGGCGGCCCACGTGGACCAGCCCCTCGAGAGGTTGCAGGAGCTCTGAGGAGATGAGAGAGGAGACGCAGCAGCAGAATGAGCAGGATAGTTCGAGCTTGGGGGAATTGCAGAGTAGTTGCGTTCCGAGTGGTTTGGGTGGTATCGGGTGTTCTGAGGGCCAGGGGAGAAGAGGTTGAGCTGGAGGATATTGACGAGAGACAGAATGGCTTTCGAAGGTTTCGGAGTGTTTGGCGAGGGGGTCCCTGGGGGTTCTAGAGGTTTGGGGGCCCTTAGGACTTGGGAATGTATGTGAGACTTTGTCGGCAGTCTGCAACTGGACTGCGGGCCGTCGCGGCTATCGCGCCGCGCGCGCGCCTTTGCGGGCTCTCGGGACACAGTTTTTTTGTTGTGCCCCCTCCCCCCCCGCCTCCCTGCCCACTTCCAGGAGCAGAGCATGCCCAGCGCGCGGGGGTGTCTCTCCTGCAGTGCGCGCGCGCCTCCAGCTCGTTCTGGCGCTTGCCCTTCAGCTTCGCGTGGCCAGTCGTCAGGGTGCTCGGTTCGGTCTGGTGATTACTCTCGTTCAGCTGAATCCGCCGACTCGGGCCGCTAGGGAGGGGGTCACTCTTCCTTCCCATCCTCCCCAGCAGCGACGAGCCAGTGCTTGAGCTTACACGTACGTCATGGGATTGTGGATTGTCCGCTTTAGTGCATTCGTTTTGCGGCTTCTCGGACAACATCTTCGTTGTTGAGGCTCCGCAAATGGATCACAACCACTTGTTCGCATTAGCCATTCGCTTCCACACGGTTGATCCGTGAGACTCCACCCCGTCGAAGGCGAATCCTCGTCTTCGGGATGGCAGTGGCCCAGGGCATGCCGTGTCGAACCGCTGCGTGATCTCCTCGGGCGACGTCCGTTTCGAGGCCGTTTGGCTGCAGCATCGGTATTTCCAACCGATGCCTTAATGACTTCAGCTCGCGGTCGTCCAATGGCATCCCAATTGGGCGAACCATGTTAGGACCATGGTGATGAGGTGGAGGAGGAGGAGGAGGAGAAATAGCGGGGGAGGAGGAGGAGGAGGAGGAGGAGGGGGAGGAGGAGGAGGAGGAGGGGAGGAGGAGGAGGAGGAGGAGGAGGAGGAGGAGGAGGAGGAGGAGGGGGAGGGGGAGGAGGAGGAAAAAGAGGAGGAAGAGGAGGAGGAGGAGGAGGCGGAGGAGGAGGAGGAGCAATCTATGGAGGCAGAGGAGAATGATGAACACGTGCGGTGGAGGAGGAGGAGGAGGAGGAGGAGGAGGAGCACGAGGAGTAGCAGGAGGCGGAGTAGACGATGGAGCCTATTGGGCTTAAGCCATTCTGGCACAATGGCGCCCTTGCGTCTTCGGACCGATCCCTTGGGCACCTAGAAGGTTCGCAGAAGAGCCGATGCCAGCCACAGTTCCCACTGACAGATCCCTGTCGTCTTGGAACCAAGTGCAGGGCAGGCAGTGGATCTCAGACAAGTCTGGGAATGGAACAATTAATGGGGCAAGGACAATGGCTGGGACAAGGGGGTCAAGGAGAAGAGGGATACCTCAGCCCCGGCTTAGCAACTACAGCAGCAGTGCAGTCATGGACGTGCAATTATTGTCCGGCAAACACTCATGTCAGGCTCAGGTTCCGCAGGATGTGTGGCACATGCTGGGGGGCTATTGTGCCCAAGGGCCCAAAGCTCCGCCAAAAGAGGACTCTGATGCCACCGTGGGCGGGAGCTCGTGGTCGTCACTAGACCTGGCAGTCCCAGAATATCCTTTATGTCATGAGGAGGATTGGCCCAGCGATGATCTGCTTGAGCAGGCCATCCAGCACTTGCGGGAGGAGAGCGAGAGCTACAAGTCCACACATAAGCTGCTCATTGTGCCCGATCAGAAACTAATCAAGGCTCAGGCAGCACTTGGTAAGTACGAGACGAACGTGGAACACGATTGCGAAAGGGTTATTATCGTCCTGCGCCAGGACGTCGAGGAGTTGGAAGGCGTGATTGTCCATGGGGGGAGTCGATCAAGGAGTGTTACGCTTGTATCACACAGCATTCCGGGATCGGGTGAACCAGCTGCGGGTGAACCAGCAGGGGGTGTGGCATCGCAGCGGGGCCACCACCAGTTCCAGCAGGCATTGCGCCAGAGTTTCTTGCCGATCATTAAATTTTCTCGACGAACATCTCGGCCGAGGAGGTCACTGTGCTGAAGACGCCCATCCTGTCACTGGTCACCACCATTCAGGAGATGCAGCATGCGGCGAGGTCGTCACCGCTGCCGCCCGCGGTGGCGGCCGCTCTCTCTTTCTCTTTCTGTCTTCTCTCGTTGTTTTTGTTTCTCTCTCTCTCTCTCCCTCCCCCTTTCTCCTTCTCTCTCTCTCTCTCTTTCTCTCTGTCTGTCTGTCTGTCTGTCTCTCTCTCTCTCTCTCTCTCTCTCTCTCTTCAAAACACGCACACACGCGTACCTTACTGTCGACTGGTTTCCCCTCCGACATGTTGCATCACTGGATGACGGTGCTTTTGGAGTTTCGTGCTCAGTGCTTCTCCTGGTCAGACTGGCAAGCGACCCGTGGACGCGGGCGCAGGTGATCGTTGCCTCGCAGCTCCGGAAGCCCAACGCGGGTGTCCGCCCGATCGGCTTCCAGTAGTCTCTGGATAAGTTAGTCTCCAAGGGGGGCCCGAAGGTGCTTCAGGAGGGGGGTTGCGCTGCGCAATTGCGGCGCCTTCAATATGGTGCCGCGCCGAAATCCGGCGGAATGGGTCTGGGGGGTACGTTATCCGTGCGGGCGTGGCGTACCTCGAGCACGAACACGCACTGCATTTTTTTGGGTGATGCACGGCAGCGCCACGAACGCGTTGAGCGCGAGGGCCTGGCGGCAGCGGCGGCGGCCTTCGCGCGCCCGTTGCCCATGCCGCAGCATGCTTTGGCCACGCATTTGCGGCCTCGAATGTTGTTGTTGGCCGACCAGGTCTCAGCCCCAATCATTTCTTGGAATGCGCAACACGTAGAGAGCCCTGTTGCGCGCTGAGGCCCAGCGTGTAGAATTGCGTTTTTCCTTCATTATTGTGTGACACATGGCTTTCGGTTGTTAAGGATCTGTGTGGAATGTTAGAGCTGCGGCCTGGGGCCAAGGAGTTGATCGGAAACTTGGCCAAGGCCAAGGCGGCCAGGGCCTGCGTTCCCAAAGTTGCGGCCTTGGGGCCTTGCAGTGCTGTCTCTGGATTGGGTGCAGGTGGAAATGTATTGCCTGTGCCAGTAACTTAGACAATCCTCTTTGCAGCAACAGTTTCTGCCTACATGTTACTCCCAGTCTGTTGGCCCAGGTAGGGCCTGGCAAGCCTCATGACCTCAGCGTCCACCATTTCCTCGAGAGTGGGGTTGGAGATGTTTTCTGTGAAAGGTGCAGGGTTTATTGCTCGGGGCGCCCGCGCCGCCCCCCCTGGGCCCTGCGACAAAGTCTCCAAGACCCAGAAGAAGTACTTGGCTGCATGCAAATGACCGTGGTCGAATGGCCACCATACTTCTAAAACTTCGCCCTTCAAGGAAAGGCCGGCGGGTTGGATGAGACTGGTGGGGGCGAAGGAGCCCTGCTAACCAGACCCCTGCTAACCACCGCTTTTTTGCCACACCCCCTTCGATCATGATCTTTGCTGGGCGCGGGGGCGTCTCAAAAGGAAGCGATGGATCAGGATGGAAAAAGGGGCAGAGAAAATGGAGAAGCAAGCGGAGGAGGAACTGCAGCATCGGCAGGAGCTCTGGGGAGGGTTGAGCTCGCTGGGCCTGCACACGGACGTGGGCGTGGCGGAACAGTACGCCCTGGCGATATCCGTAGGTCCTGGCGGATCCGCCGGCACCCAGGGTGGGGGAGGCTGGGGGCATGGGGCGGAGGAGGGAGGAGGGGCCGGGAGAGGAGGAGGAGGAGGATGAGGAGGAGGAGGAGGACGACGGGGAGGACGAGGAGGGGGGAAAATTCCTATCCGCTCAGTGCCAACATGTAGACATTCAGCGCGATGTTTTTGGGACGGCTCCTGGTGACGACTGCGGCTTTACATGCTCTTCTTCTGGATGTCCACGCGGGTCTTAAGCATGAGCTTGATATCATGCATCCTGTAGTGGCTCTCTCTTCAAGCAGTCGGTTTTGGAGGGAGGGGTGCTGAGATCGAAGTTCAACGGAGCTACCCAACTGGGAAATTGTTTTTGATGTTGGTTCGTGTCGTGTGTGACGTGCTTGCGGACGGGGCGAGGCGAAGCTGCGCGAGCTCCTGCCCTAGTAGAGGCCACGTCAGGCCAAAACGAGTCGCCCCCCCGCCCCTCCCCCCAGCGCGGCGGCCGTTGGGTGAAGTTGTCCCGATGATTGTCCCGATAATTGTCCCGATGGCTCTGTGAGGCGATGATGCACTGTGAGCCAAACACCACCACAAAGCCCAGCATCCGGAAGGACGTGTGGGCAGAACGCGCGCGAACAACAAAAAGGAGCGCATCACGATTGTGAATCAGAAAATGGAGCGCCCGACTGTGAAGCCTAACACGTGCGGCGAGACAGGAGAACGAAGGAGAGGATGAGGAGGAGGGGGAGGAGTAGGAGAAGGAAACAGATGATACAGATGTATGGATACGAGAGTAGCTCATGCACCGAGGTCGCTCATCGCTGCCGCGGACGCCCACGCTTCCTGCGAGAAGTCCATTGTCTTGGAGAGCCATTACCAAACTTGGGCCAGCGTGGGCCCCGAACAGTGACGTCTTGCAGTCTATGCCGTGCAAGCTAGGTGGCGCAATCAAAGTGACGCAATCTAGGTGGCGCAATTTAGGTGGTGCACCGATTTAGCCCCGATCGAGCGTCGACTGGTGTCGAGTAGCGTCGGCCAACCAAATGGTATGGGAGGCTCCCATGAGTTGCCACCGAAGTCCGACTTGTACATTTCCAGTTGTGGAGGTTTGGCATTCTTGGTGGGCACGTCGGCAAATGGCTGGCCGTGGTCCCTTTGTAATGCTCACGCTTGTGTCTACTTGATTCGGCCCCCAGCTCCCAGCCCACCAAACATCCAAAGCTCCTCCTCCGTTTCCTCCTCATCCTCTTCCTCCTTCTCATCGTGTCTTGGTGCGCTCTCGTCAGCGGCAGTTCTCTACATTTGGGCGCGTTTGCTCTGTCGCCTGGTGTGTTGCTCCCGCTCCTGCGCACAGCCGAGCAGACATCCAAGTTGGAGGGGCAGAGAGATTCCCAGGGGAACGTCTCTTCTTCGGCGCGGAGTCTGTGCCGTTGGCGCTTACGAAGTCCTTCGATATTGAAGGCCCCAAACGGCTCTCGGGACCTCAGCCAGCAGCGGAGATAGTTCACTATTGAACGGTTCGACGGTGACAGTAACCAGGGCCCAGACTTCCGACGTTTTGCTCTTTTGCAAGATGTGTTCAGTTGTGGGCATCTCTGTCGCAGCATTCGTTTGGATTCCGCGCTGTGGGTTGTTGTTGTTGATGTTGTTGTTGTTGTTGTTGTTGTTGTTGTTGTTGTTGTTGTTGTGGTTGTTGTGGTTGTTGTTGTAGGCTTTGGGGTTTGGTCAGGGTCTCTGGAGACCCACACCGAAGAACTGGCCATCCTTAGTGGCCTTAAGACACTGGAGGTCTAAAGTTGGAGCTGTTACAGTATTCATAGGATCATGCCGTGTGAGGAACGACCCCCATCACCAGCGATATGCCACAAAAAAGGTGCGGACAGAGAAGAGCGACAGACGCAGATGAGGGAAGAGAATGTCGGGAGCTGGACGGGGAAGGGAGAAGGGGGGAAAGGGAGGGGGAGGTGCAGCAGCATGAGCAGAGTGGAGGATTGCGACGATCATGGCCTTCTTGACCCCGCGCGGGTCGGCTGACTAGGGTTGCGTATGGGCAGCCCTATCTCGGGGGGAGGCACGCGGCGTTGGACGGAGTTCGATGCTCGGATCTTGGTCGTCCTCCTGTTTCTCCTCCCCTCACCGTTCTTGGTTTGCTCCTCCCTCTGTCTGCCTCCTGCCTCTCTCCGCCGCCTTCTTCTCCCCAACGCCCAGGAGCCGCCGCCCGCTCTGCTACGGCGGCCGGGGCCCGCCGCTGACACTTAGCTTGCGCCCGACCGGCGCGCTCACGCGCGCGTTCGCGGCGAGATCTCGCACAAAACGATGGGGCAGAAGGCGCTCTGTGGCAGAGCCGAGGGCGAAACGGTGGAAGCTGCCACTGTGGCGAAAATCGTCGACGCCGCCTTCGTGGACGACGACTGCTTCGCGTTGGCGGCTGCCTCGTTGCCGTTTTCTCGACCGTGCAATCCAGGCGTTGCTGGAAGTATTGTGCTGGCTGTTCCTCCTGCGCCCGATGGCGATGAATGGGGTCTCCAGGCAAGACGGAGCGCAAGCTCCGGAGTAGAGGCAAAAACGCCAGCGCGCGTTGTTGGCAGCGCAGGCGCGAGGACGGCGGGCGCGTGAAGTCAGATCTCTGTGATGCTATCAAGTTGCCCAATGACTCAATTTGCCGAAGTAGACACATCCAGGGGCAATTGTTTTTGGTTTTCGCAAAATGAAAAGTAACAATCGGGGGTACATGGCAACCCGATGCGGAGAAGAGGACAAACGCAGCCTCAAGCCCATGTGCGCCAGCTGTGGTCCGCGCGCTCGGCGATCCGAAATTGCCCATCTCTCTGGAGATGCGCGCCTCGAACGCAGACATCCTGACAAGCCCGTGTCCCATGCGCGCGCTGTTGCGCCCGACGACGCGCATGTCGTGAGGGCGCCCCGACGCACTGTGGACGCGGTTCGGTATCGGCCACGGCGGGGCACGGACTTGCAAGTGAATCAATATGCGGGGGCAGTATCCATCGACCGCATGCTTTTTGCAGGCTAGACTGAGGTACCTGCGGAGGCGCTTCCTATCTGGCAGAGCGCAGCGGCTGGCGTTGCCGTCGTCGAAGCACAATGGCAAAGTGATGCCGAGCGCGCGCGGGTCGCGCTCGAGTGTCGTGCCGCGGTGCAAAGGCTGAGCAGCCAGTGCGCGCCGCTGGGAGAGCCCGGCGAGACCGCGGGACAATGGTTGGACGTGATCTGCAGCCAAGACTAGCGATGGCACGATTTGGTTGACGCGGTTCATCTAGCAAAGAGCAAGTGTCACACTTGTGCCTCGACAGAAGGGGCGCAGCTCAATTTCGCTTGCGACGCGTCCCCTGGCCCGACCCACCATGATTTGCAGCCAGATCGGGGCTCGCGCGGCACGAGCGCGCCGCGCGCGTCGTCGGGGATGAAGCGGGGAAGTGCGTCTCGGCGGACGGCGCTCGCCCTGTATGCCATAAAGCCGTTTGGCCGCGTTCGCGCTGCATTTGCCATCTCTCGGGGCGCCCCCCCCCCCCCCCCCCATTCATGCGCAGAGATGCTGCGCAGGGCTTCTCCCCGACGACCTCTAGAAGCCCCTGGACAGGGCCTCGCGCGGGCAGGCGCGCAAGGAGGGCCACGCCAGACCCGCGGCTGCAGGGGCGGCGAAGTCCTCCGCAAGATGCACCGCGGAAACTTCCCAGACCCAAACGCGCGCTTGCACGTGGACGATGTTTCACGCGCGCAAGGGGACCATGACACCGCTCGGGGGCCATATTAGGGCCTTGGGGGTTTCTTGTGGTGTTTTGGAGGAGCACAGAGCCGAAAAGGCGAGAACCTCAAGATCCGCCCAAAACCGACGGACAATGTTTGGCACTCGCATGTCGGAGCCTGCATGGACGTGCTCTCGGGTTTTTCTTCTGGCGCGTACGTCTAGTTGCATGATCCGTCTGAAGGCCAACTTTGGCGTCATGGAGCGATCTCGCGGCGACCCTGTTGCCCTCTTGGACTGTCGCGGGGGCCCCCGAGGCTTTCTCGCCAGTTTCGGGGCCCCGTTGGTCTGGAGAAAACCACGCGGGAACATTTGCCGGGGGCCGAAGGGCAGGGCGGGGGCCTGGGGAAATTTAGGATGCATGCGTATTTGTTGGTCTGTCCAAAGCACTCGACGGGGTGATCCGTGAGCTGGTTCTCGGGGCCCTTCGCGAGTGCACCTGCCCGCCCACGAGCTTGGCGAGCCGTCGTCTTCGCGCCCGGGAGGCGGAGCGGATCGTCGAGTTCATCGCCGCCCGCGGGCCCCTCGTGCAGCACAGGGGCGCCCCCGACGAGCCGCGCGCTTATTTCAAGCACGTGGCTTGCAAGAGTCGGCTACGCCGCAGAGACTTGGGCGCCGCAGCCAGAGTGCGTCTCGGAGGTAATCAAGACTGCAAGCACGGCAGTGCGATTTTGCACGGATCGCATTCGGTCGGCCTGCTGCTCCTGAAGGGCGACCTGCTTGAGGCCGGCGCGGCGCTACGCATCCGCGACCCTGTCCTTGACTTCGTCTCTCCCAGCGGCGCCCGCGCTGATAACAGCCCGGCAGCGGCCGACGGACGGCGGGATTCCCCCCCCCCCATCCCTCGCTTGACTCCACAGTCCCCGTCGTCGACGCTGCGTTCGTTCGTTGACGACGACATGTTTGCTGCTGTGCGCCAAGGCCCCGGCTCTCCTGGATCGGAACGTCGACGTCTTCCTCGAGGTGTTGTTCGGTGCAATCGGTACAATGGGCTTCGCAATCAATTGGGAGCCAGGGAAGCGGAACGCAGCCACATCCACAGGGGCCGCAACGCCGCCGCCCACTGCGCCGCCAGGAGAATTAGACCCCAGGGCGCTCTCCAGGCGAGGGAGCATGCCCCAATGTTCACGAAGCTCGGGCCCATGCGGCGTCGGCGGCGGCGGCGCATGGCCCGCTGGCCGTGCGAGCGCGCGGCGACGAGGCCTATCCGCTCCTGGATCGTTGGGGCCCCATGAAGTCTCCACTTTGTTCCACAACATCCACATCTCGGTGCTGTTGCTACGCATCCTGAACGCCGCATGCATTCGATATTGTCGCCGCCTTGCCAGTGAGTGCTGTCTCGGCCCGAGTGTGAACGACGTGCGTGGGCCCCTCAAGATCTTTCCGTGGGGCGCGTCCTCATGCGAAATCGGCAGGTCTTCCTGAACGTGCTCTTCTCTATCGAAGTTGTTGCCGCCCGCCTGCCCCCTGGGTTTCACAGCTCGTTGACGTCCTCAACTTTCCCTGGCGCATGGCCGCCTTATGCCCCGCTCTCCCAGCTCCTGCAAAGGATGTCAGGCCCTGGCGGCCACTTCTAATATAGAATGCGAGCCAGCTCGGTGGTCGCAGGCATACAATCATGCACATGTTGCTGCTGTTGCGTGCGACCTAGGAACGGCGGCCGCTCCTTCTCGCGACGCGCCGGTTACAGCGCACCAGTGCACCCAGTGCACCGCTTCAGTGGCCACATCTCGAGCTCCGCGCTCCCATGTGCGTATCAGGCACGGCGCAAAGGCACTGCAACGAATATAATGCTTGTCTGATGGCGTCTGTCAAGCGCGGGGGCCAACTCAATTCAGATCCAGGCTTCGCCTGCTTGCACGTCTGTGCGACAGCAGGCGCACGACATTTTCTAGCGCCCTACGCCCTTCCAGTGTGCAGAGCTCGACTCAATGGACATTATTGCGCAGCGGCGCGATGCTCGTCGTACCGGCCACACCCATGCAGCCGCCGTGGGCTCTTATTGCGCACCCTCGCGTTTGCCTTTCTTTGTATTGTTTGTGCGCGGCTTTCGCGTCAGTTGAGCCTTGCGTGTTCGTGAACTTGCGACGGGCGTGGCGGCCTAAATCTCGATGGAGCCCGTAGACTTGCATATCTCCTTACATATGTACATGTTCATATGTATATATATATGTATCTATATACACATATTTGTATACATGTAAACATATATTTATACATATATAGCATGTTCCTCCCTATTTCCCACTCGCAGCCCCCTCCCCATCCACACCCTGCCCCCCAGCCCCCCTCTTTATCACCCTGAATTCCGCTTCTCTCCCTTTTCGCTACCCCTTTCACTGATCATCCCTCTTCCCTTTCAATCCTCTCTCCATCCTCCTTCCTTGCCTCACCCCCGTGCATTCCCCATCACCTTGCTGTTTTCCCCGTCGCCCACTCGCCCTTGCCGGTCGTCCCGCCTCCCTCCCTTAACTTCCCCGTCCCTTCCACCCTCCTCCTTCCCCTTCCCCCTCCCCCCTCGGGCATTCCCCATCCCGTCCGTGTCCCTTCGGCTCCTCCGCTCGCCGCCTCCCCCGTCAAGCCCCCCTGCCCTGCACCTCCCTGCCCCTCCCTTCCTCCTCCACAGTTCGAGTAGAAGAACGACTGCATAACTGATTCACCCCGCAAATCAAAGCTTCCCCAGACTCGACGCAAATGTCAAGATCGAGGTACGTACGTCAATTCCGTAGTCGATCTCCAAATCGAACACTCCCGTTCACTTCTCCCCCGCTCTCCGCAGTCCCCTTCCTTCATTTCCTTCCATGTCCCTGCACAGAGTGGAGCGACGGACGCACTGTTTTTTCATGACGCCGACCCTCGACTGCCATCTTCCGAGCCTTTGGAGCGGTAGGCGCCGCCGTGGCGCGGCCTCGGCGGCTGCCGTAGTTGCGCGGCATCTGCCGCGCCGAGGGTGCGGAAGGCGGAGGTCGGAGGTGGATCCGAGGTTCGTCGGCACGCCGTCCGCTTCAGAGAATGAAGAGATACCGAAGCCGCTGGCCTTCACGGCTGGATTCGCTTCGAAGTCCTGGTCCGAAGTCTGGGGAGCGGCAGTGTGGGTTCTTGTTCGCCCCCTCGTCCGCCGCCGCCCCCCGGGCCCATGGACTACGCGGGCATCAGAGTCGCCGTGGGCGGGCTCGGCGTGGGGCGGCGCGCAGCCTTGGCGGAGGCGGTGGGCGCGGCTGGGCACTTGACGCCGCGGGCGGATGGCAGGCCGCCTCGCGCCGCGTCTTCGCCGTTGAAACATACCGAGCAAGACGAGGGATGGTTTTGCCCAGGGACCCTCGCGGATCGATCTGGCGTGGAGGAA